GCAAACCAGTCTGAGGCAAGAGTGAACAAACGCTGTGCTTCCGCGTGAACTTGGGATCCGTCAGCATGATGCGCCATCGCACCGGACAATAGTGTTATGATATCACTCTGGAAGTCTGAAAAACTGGTGTAGCTATTAGAGAAAACACGTTTTTCAATGTCCAAGAGACCAACGCGATGGTGACCCTATGAAAAAGAAACAAAAGTAAAGGTTCATCACTTGAAGCAAACTCAAAAGCGAAAAAAAAAGGAAAATGTGAGAGCTAATTAGTAAGTTAATCGAAACCCCGACAGTTTTAGGATACGACCAAGAACTCATAATCAGATGGATTACCAAAAACCTGTGGAAGCAAACACTAATGATCCTTACTTTTCCGACGCCCAGAGCAGAGACGCTGGACAGGAAGTATCCATTAATATCCTGACTTCTGAGGACACACAACAATTCAACACAAACATCACGTAAAAATACCAGCCTCTGTTGTTCATTGATGGAAATTATGCCCGTATTGTGTCCTTCAGTTAAGTTGTGTGCATTATGATGTGTCAAATGCAACGGGTTTCTGGGTTGCAATGCACCGTTTTCGGGCAAGCACGAGTCATTCATGGATTCAGACAGAGGCGAAGGAGGTGTGAGACCCGGTGAATCCAACAATGATTCCAATGTGATATGTCCCGCTCCACCTCGTGCGCACAACGGACTGGACATGGTTTTGAGAGGCGTTGGACAATCGGACATCATCTGTAACCAAATGGAAGAGAAAATGATGTCGAGATACATAGGTATTAGACTTTCTTAAAGATGATTGTACGTCGAATGAATGAGAAGAATATAAAGAAAGTCTACATGTAAGTAATCCGGACCATTACAGTAGGAATACAGAAAGGATGCGAGATTGCTTTCATTATGTGCTACGGTATGCCTCACAGATCCCACTAGCTGAAGATAAGGAATAATCTAGGTACTAAAAGGAGCAAGTAAAAATATAAATAATAGAGCAAGTAGACAAATTTTGCTATCTGGGCAGCTATATCTCACCCGGTGGACGCATCACGGATGAAGTTTCAGCTCGCATACAGAAGGCTCGATTGGCATTTGCCAACTTGAGAAATCTGTGATGCCGTCGCGACATCCTGCTGTCCGTGAAGGGTCGAGTGTATGGTGCAGCAGTTCGGCCTGTTCTGCTATATAGAGCAGAAAATTGGCCAGTAAGAAAACAGGATAAAGATAGACTGTCGTGTTTGAACACCGCTATCTACGCAGCATTGAACGAATCTGGTGGGGCAGCCGGATGAGCAATGCTGAGGTTAGGCACAGAGTTTTAGGTAAATGCGGTCACCCACTGGAGCAAGTAGTCGACCTCCATGGATTAAGTTGGTTGGAGCATGTGTTACGCAAGTCACCAAATGGGTTGCCACTGCGAACGATGTTTGCCGAGGCAGGTAGTGGGTGGAATAAAGCCAAGGATGGCCAAGCTCAGACCTGGCATGAGGGTATGAAAACCCTAATCAGGAGACGGAGTCACATAGGTCCTGTTAGGCTCCCTGGATGGGGACCTCGGGAGGATCATACCCGATGGTTAGAGACACTGAGTGAATGGGTGTCATAAACAGTGGCGTTCGTGCATCTTGTCGATTTCTCTGTAAAATTAGTGCAATAAAATCCCAAATTTTCTCTTCGATCCTACTTTCAACCTTTCCTATCTTTCTCTTTATATTCATCCAAATGGGCAGCCAAAAGACAGCAACCAAAACCGGCACGCTATAGTGCATGGTTAATGGTCATAGAAACTGAACTGAACTGAACTTGAGCATTGAACTATTCGGCGAATAATACAACGTCCGCTGATCAAACTCTTTGGAGTAATTGATAAATATCCTTGTAGAATTCATCCTTGATTTCAGGTGTACTGCAATTGGTCGGTGCATACACCGATTTGACGAATAAGCAGCGACGCTTTGTTCCGAAGCTGTTAACCCGTACTGAACCGTCGAGACGTCCACAACTGTTTGCCCCTAGTACCCCGTTCCTACGCCCCTCTAGCGGGGGGTTTTGACCGGCAAACTGTCCCTCCTCGAGTGTTTTTGCTGGGGTGACATCTCCAGGGGCTGTAGCGGATAGTTAAGGGAAGCAGGTGCCCAAGCAGCTGGCTGTGTGAGACTGAGCCTTGTCTGGCATCTAACCATTGACCTTTCAGGCATAATTGGATCTGCAGCTGTGAAAAGCCATCCTATGTAGCTCGCAGAGTCATGGAGGCAAGAAAGCCATCACATTACGTCAATGTGCAGTTTCTCCGTGATGGATTTTATGTTTCCATCCGTTTACCAACACATAAACCGAAGAACGAAGTGTTCACGCGACATCTGCTCGTAACAGTAAACCAAGAACAAGGGCAATCGATAGATGAGTTTACACAAAAACTGAGAGTTCTCGCAAAGGATGGTAACTTCGTCGCAGTTTCCACTGAGATATCGCGATGAAGCAACCTGTGATACCTTCATTACGGCGTTGCCTCCCAACGATATTCGCCTAAGGCTTTTCGAGAAGCTAATCCTAAGTTTACGGTGTGCCTTTAACGAGAAGCGCACTTTGGATAATACATAACAGCAGTCGCTCACCTACGATTTAGTCTTACACGTACCCTGTGGTTACATGACTGACCAGACAGATTCCACCATTTCACTACAACGCCCTGGAGTTTCCGACCAGAGAGCAAAGAAGCAACTGCATTGGTTTCCACCAAATGCTTTTTCTGCAGAAATCATCGACATCCTCGTTCAAAATGTCTAGCCCAAGAAGCCACATGTAATTCTTGTGGAAACGGCATTTCCAAAAGGCTTTTCAAACCAATTCCAATACTCACCCCAGATTTGCATCATCTGTGTTGAATCCAACCATATCGTCCGTTGTTGCAGTGTTATTGCTCGTCGATCTCTCCAATTCCACAGTAACGATTCAAGTCAATGGAACAACTCTGAGCGCGTTAATGGGTACTGGTAGTT